TTTTTGTTTAGTCCCCCCTCCCTGCTTCTTACCAGGGAGGGGGATATAGTATCCCTTGGTGGTCCAGTGGCTTGTTAAGTACAGTGGTGGCTCAGCAGCAGCAAGCGCTGACTTACCTTGCAAGCAGCTCCTACAGCTCCCTGTGTAAATCTCGCGGCTCTTAGTGCCGCGCGGAGCGTTGCCATGGTAACCCGTGGCAACGCTCTGCGGCCGCGGGTCTCGCGAGATTTACACAGGGAGCTGCAGCTGCATGCAAGGTAAGTCAGCGCTTGCTGCTGGCCCCCACAGGACCGCCGGGCTTGTAATGGGCCCGGCGCTCCTGTTATATATTATCGGCAATATCGGTATCTGAATTGGCCGATACCGATATTGCCGAAAATACCAAATATCGGCCGATAATATCGGCCAGACCGATAATCGGTCGATCCCTATGTCTGACCTATGTTATACCAAATGGTGAAACAATTAAGCTAAATTGGTGACTTGGGAACCTAACTAGTTGTCAAGTGGCGATGAGAGGCTCTACCTATGATTTGGCCCATTGGGTATGTTTGCCACCGGACGTTGTGGCAGGGTGTTGGCCTCTCGGTGAGGATTAAAGAGATTCAAAATAAGTTGGCTGTGACAGGTGAGGCCCTAACTGCTTTGCCAAGAGGGCGGAGATGCGAGGCAGTAACTATGATTTGGCCCGAGGGGCGAATACCTCCATAGTTGAGGATAGGAGTGGGCCTCACAGGACAGCTATATAATGGCACAAGAAGCCGAAAGCTACTTATGGCCACTTAGGGTACCCTAATAGCCAGTCCAAGCTAAAGATAAGTTTTGTAGAGCGCGTGGTTATTGTAAGAATGGAGGTAGTATCGTAAAGCGAGTCACTTAAGTGGTGACTTAAAAAAAAACGTAAATGCAAAAGAATAAATGTTGCATGATAAGATATACACCTGGCAGATAAATGAAAGCTATGCCAGAAATTGATGATCAGAATAGATAAATGGAAAGTGGAGGGCAAAAGAAAAAGGTTTGCCGAGATCCAAAACCAAAATCCAACCAGAGAGAGAGAGAGACCCAAGAACCTAGTGTTCATAATTCAGAACTACGACACCAACGAAAATGCAACAGTTTGCCGGTAAGGTAAGTATAGTAAGTGCAAGGAGCCCAGAACCCAAAATACTCTATTAATATCTGTTACCAAACTTACAAAGGATATTAAACAGTGTGATAAATGGCTCAGTTGACTATACCCCCAGATATGGTCGGCATAAAGCATACCTGGTGAGACTTTACTTAATGATATAGGTCATTAAAGATTGGCCAGAATAATTGAACAACAAGACCCCTGTGAAGTATATGTCAGGAGGTGAGGGTGCGGTTCCCAAATTATCAAGTTGAGGATAACCAGCCGCAAGTGGCATAGTGACAGAAAGGCACATTATAAAACATAACAGTGCAGACATGTGGAGTAACTGAAAATTAACAGTTTTCATCAAAAACCCGACCCAATACCTGTTTGTACAGAATTTAGGCACGAGTTCCCTCTGCACATCCTTCCACTAGAAGGAGCTGAAGTGTGTATGAGAAAGAACACCCTGAAAAATCCCAACCATCACATTAATCAAATCCCATACCATAGTGTACTGAAGGAAGTGAAATACCAGAACTAGCAAGTGCCTTAAGGTGGAGGTATTAACAGTTAAAATAGTGACAGACCAAAGAAGCCTGGATATGTTAAATGCATAATGATAGGTACCAGGTTCTCGGGTGTGTGCCAAGAGAGGGAAAAGACTTGCGTGGGCCTAACGGGGCCATGTGTAATATTGGAATGTAGTATAAAAGGTTGCATTTCTTTGACCCTCGTATATTAGAAACTCCAGTGCATGGCCTTTACTACTGAGCCATCAGCTGGGACACACGGGCACCCAAACGGCAAATGAATGCAGTGGAACGCAAACGTTCCCATTGTTACGCGTTGGAACGCATAAGATCGTGAATGGTAGTGCACATGCTCACTCCCGGCTCATTGTGAACGCCGAGCATCTGGAACTGGTAAGTTTTAATAATTATTTCTGTACATTTAAGGTATATATAGCTTGGGTGGAGGGTTTACAATTGTTGATACATGTCCTGATGAAAGTTCCAATGTTGGAACTGAAACATTGACTTTTTAAGTGATGTACAATTAAAAGTTAAGTATTACCTTACCTACCTGTTTTTGACTAAGCCCTTGAGTGCAGCCAGTTTGTCTGTTTTTTTTTTGTTGTGTGGCTAAGCACCGGGTATCCGTATATATACTAGGAGTGCAAGCTTTTTGTTTATATATATATATATATATATATATATATATATATATATATACACACAGTATCTCACAAAAGTGAGTACACCCTTCACATTTTTGTAAATATTTTATTATTTCTTTTCATATGACAACACTGAAGAAATGGCACTCTGCTACAATGTAAAGTAGTAAGTGTACAGCCCATACAACAATGTAAATTTGCTGTCCCCTTAAAATAACAACACACCGCCATTAATGTCTAAACCGTTGGCAATACACCCCTAAGTGGAAATGTCCCAATTGGGCCCATTTTGTGTGGCCACCATGATTTTCCAGCACTGCCTTAACCCTCAAGGGAATGGAGTTCATCAGAACTTCACAGGTTGCCACTGGAGTCCGCTTTCACTTCTCCATGACGACATCACGGAGCTGGTGGATGTTAGAGACCTTGCTCTTCCCCACCTTCCGTTTGAGGATGCCCCACAGATGCTCAATAGGATTTAGGTCTGGACACATGCTTGGCCAGTCCATCACCTTTAACTTCTGCTTCTTTAGCAAGGCAGTGCTCGTCTTGGAGATGTGTTTGGGGTCGTTATCATGTTGAACTACTGCCCTGCGGCCTAGTCTCTGAAGGGAGGAGACCATGCTCTGCTTCAGTATGTCACCGTACATGTTGGCATTCATGGTTCCCTCAACGAACTGTAGCTCCCCAGTGCCTGCAGCACTCATTCAGGCCCAGACCATGACACTCCCACCACCATGCTTGACTGTAGGCAAGACATATTTGTCTTTGTACTCCTCACCTGGTTGCCACCACACACGCTTGATACATCTGAACCAAATAAGTTTATCTCGGTCTCATTGGACCACAGGACATGGTTCCAGTAATCCATGTCCTTAGTATGCTTGTCTTCAGCAAACTGTTTGCGGGCTTTCTTGTGCATCATCTTTAGAAGCCATGCAGACCAATTTGATGTAGTGTGCAGCGTATGGTCTGAGGACTGACTGGTTGACCCCACACCCCTACAACTTCTGCAGCAATGCTGGCAGCACTCATACGTTTATTTCCCAAAGACAACCTCGTGATATGACGCCGAGCACGTGCACTCAACTTCTTTGGTCGACCATGGCGAGGCCTGTTCTGAGTGGAACCTGTCTTGTGAAACCGCTGTATTGGTCTTGCCCACCGTGCTGCAGCTTAGTTTCAGTGTCTTAGCAATCTTCCTATAGCCTAGGCCAGGCATAGGCAACCTTCGGCACTGCAGGTGTTGTGGACTACACCACCCATGATGCTTTTCCAGCATTATGTGTGTAAGAGCATTATGGGGGGTGTAGTCCACAACATCTCAAGTCCAAAGGTTGCCAATCCCTGGCCTAGGCCATCTTCATGAAGAGCAACAATTCTTTTTTTCAGATCCTCAGAGTTTTCTTTGACATGAGGTGCCATCAGAACTTCCAGTGACCACTATGAGAGAGCGTGAGAGCGATAACACCAAATTAAAACACCTGCTCCCCATTCACACCTAAAACTTGTAACACTAACGAGTCACATGACACTGGAAAATGGCTAATTGGGCCCAGTTTGGACATTTCCACTTAGGGGTGTACTCACTTTTGTTTCCAACGGTTTAGACATTAATGGCTGTGTGTTGAGTTATTTAGAGGGGACAGCAAATTTACACTGTTAAACAGGCTGTACACTTATTACTTTACATTGTAGCAGAGTGTCATTTATTCAGTGTTGTCACATGAAAAGATATAATAAAATATTTACAACAATGGGAGGGGTGTACTCACTTTTGTGAGATACTGTATGTGTATATATATATATATATATATATATATATTTATATATAAAAAAACATAACATTTTATATCACTGGACAAATATGGCTACAATCTCTCTCTCTCTCTCTCTCTCTCTCTCTCTCTCTCTATATATATATATATATATATATATATATATATATATATATATATATATATATATATATATATATATATATATATATATATACATACACACACACACACACACACACACACACACCCGCCCCTCCCCCACAGAGTTGTGGTGGGGAAAAGAGTGTGGATGAAAACCCCTTCCACCTGAAGTAGGTGGATAGTTAATACATTGGTAAACACAAATACACACACCTGTCAAGCCATAAGACCTGCTTTTCCCACAGAAATCTCACTTTAACAGTGCTCTCACTACTGCAAGGGATTCTGGATAGGCGTATGCAAATGAGCTCAACATACATATATATATATATATATATATATATATATATATATATATATATATATAAATATGCAGGAGGGAGGAGGGGGATAAAGAAACTAAGAGTATAGTCTCCTTTTGAAACGGTGATTTTGTGAAACATTTTAGTTTTTTGTAGTATGGTATTTACATATATGGATGTTGACACATTCAAACAACTTTGTAATGACCCTGATCTATATTATTTATTTATTTTTATTATATCAGGGCTTCTGGATGTGACAAATCATGTGGGAGAATTCCAGAAGGCTTGGAGTGGAATGAAATGTTAATGACAATGTTTGGACAGTATGACTGCAACAGTCCTTTATTTGTGAGATACTGCATGGCGATATCGTCATGCTTCATACGGTTGTAATGCATATTGCTTGTATGTTGCCTAAAGCAGGAGCTACAATGTGACTTCCAGTACCAGTTTCTGCGTTTTTTTAATTGCTAAACATGTCGGAAGAGTGGAGCATGATTGGAATAGAAGAAAGGAGGATTGGTGGATTGGAAGAGCAGAGAAGTGGTATGATGCAACAACATGATCGGATGGCATCACATGAGGGGTGGGATAGTGGAGATAAGGAAAAGACACATTGGCAAGGGAGAAAACGTCAAGTGACCAGAGGGAACCATGAACCCTGGCTGAATAAGTCTAACTCCTATTCTGATCCTGATCAGAGCACTAGTTCTTCATCATGCAAGGACAGGCTGAGGAACATAAAGTTCACAGAGGAGGAGAATGATATACTAGTCACAAAGGTTTTGGAGAATTACCCAAAGTTATATGGGGATGATGCATCAAGAACATCAAGCTTTGAAAAAAAAAGAATCTGGCGTGGCATTCTTGAGTCAATAAATCGTTTGGGTGTGAGTGTACGAAATGTGGATACTTGCAAGAAAAGATTTGCGGACTGCAAACGATTTGTCAGGTCAAAAATGAGCAAGAATTGGCGTCATCCTGGAAAACGCCAGTCTGTGAGCGTTTATTACGCAGAGTGGGAAGAGAAAATCAAAGCAATAATATGTCCACTGGTCGAGGGTATTCCAGGACTGATTGATTCTGCAGATCCTTGCACCTATGAATGTCCAGGTAACTGTAACTATGAATTTGCCACGTGGGGGTTGTTCATTTAATAGATGTGTACAATGTTTGTGATGTTTATACAGCAGAGCAGCATGTTAAAATAATGTAGAGGTCCAGTTATTTGGGAATGGGGTATTCTGCTTAACTTGAAACTACTCAACAAGTAAGCAAATGTAATAAATGGAAACTTTCCAGTTTTACTCTAAATTGTATTACTGAATAAAACAATAAAATCAACCTATGATTTGTGTTAATCTGCTTTTCACATATAGCCATGATTAGATACATTATTTTGAAATAATAATAATGCTATCCACATTCTTATCACTTCAAAATAATATGACTGGAACTATAAACCTTCTTATACAATCTTTTCACACTTGTGACACTTCTCAAACATTTTTGTCATGATTATAGCAATTTGTCTGTGTTTGCCACTGGTTGTACAGCTTCCAGAAGCTGACTGCCAAACCATAAATCCTGGCTGTACGTGATGATGTTTTTTGCCTTCATTTAATAATGTGTTACTTAATGGTATATGTAGGTAACTGAACCAAAATCCATGATGATGCCTAAAAGGGGTTATTTTAATCCTGAATTGGGCAATGTGATAAAAAAAATCAGATTTTATAAATGCAGATAATGAAAATGAGGGATGTGAACAGAATTTTGTCTGATTTGCATGCCATTTTATTATGCAACATCGTATGTGAAAGTACATTTTAATATTTAGTTTTGTAAAAACTATAATTTAATATATATATATATATTTTTTTTAAACAGAAATTAAAAAAAAAATGCACATATGAATTAATTCATATCCTGCCCATTATTTTAGGTCATTGGTCTCCTCCTGAGAATGCTTCTCCTGAAGCTACACTGTCTCCAATAGAAAATGAAACACCAGAAGTTCCATTTTACCCTGATACACAGGTTCCCACCAATTCGAAACCACAGACAACAAACGAAGATTGGCCGGCTTTCAGAGATCCGACTGCAGTCAATGTAAAGGAGGAAGGTGGTATCAATGCATTAGAGATGCCTTCTGCTCAAGATGGGCAAGATCATCAAGAACATTTTTCATCTATACCACAATGGGGGCAAAGACAACCTGAGGTACGTGCCCTTCCTGAAATGGACCAGCTTGTCTATCAAAGCCAAGAGGCATTTCGAAGAACTCTAAGACGACAGTTACATGCTGTACGCCAAGAAATAAGAGAATTTAGACGTGACCATACTGAAAGGATGGATCTATTACTTACTCTGCATCGTGAGCACATATTAGTGGAGGAACAGAGAAATGAGATCCTATCTAAGCTGGTTAGTACCGTTAATAATTTAGCAACTAAACTAAGTAGTAGAGATGCATGCAATGAAAGGCAATGTTTGCAGCCCCCATTAGATGAAGACTCTACAAGTAAAGGAGAAAACTCTCCCACCAAGCCAGGTACTTCTGCTCAGACCTCACCACGTTATCCGTCCCGTCAATCCCCAGAAGACCTAAGGAATACCAATGTAAACCATAGACGAAAGATTCTTAATCACGGACAGTTTTCGAGTAAAAGAAAAAAATAATATTTTTATTTTTATACACTGGTTCTCCTTTTTTACCTCAATTCATGGCATTATTTTTGCTAAAAATATTAGTTTCATGTTTAGAATAAAATATCTGAATAAATATATACAGTATTAATATTTTCACATATGTATATGTACACACAGCAGTTATATATAATGTTTTAATTATTTTGTCTCTTCTGTTTCAGATGACAGTATACATATGTTTCTTATTTATTCATAAAATAATCATAACATTATATGGATGTTAGAACTGTCTTGTTTTTAATCAACATTCTAAATTGCTTCTTGTCACATGAATGTTAGAAATCTCTTTATTTTTATTGTAGGGCTCTGTGCATCATAAAAAGGTAAAAACATTGCAGACTCTTAACAGAAGCGAGGGTTATGGATTTCATCTGCTTTTGAGCAAATTCTATTTTTATGTTTTAATAAAATCTGAAAATCAACTGTAGCCTCAATTTTTTTCCTTTTCAAATACCCACAATTAGTACAGACCTGATTATGTTATTTTTAATTGTAAAGGCATATTCTTCACGGCTGTAAATGACAAATACATATTACATTAATATTAGAATTGGAACAAACGTGATGGGGACAGAGGCCATGCGCAAATAGGTAATGTTATTTTATGTTAATTAGTATCACCTTTGCTTTAGTGACCCCACCTATTACAATACAAACCTTTTTCTAATTTAGATAAAAATATTTATGCATAATCGAATCTACTAGAACAGTAATTCCCAACCTGTGGTACGCATACCCCAAGGGGTACAAACCAGTTCCCGTAGTGGTACGCAAAACCCCCCCAAAAAACAATGGTGGAACTACCTCCAGTGCTAATGGGGCACATCGGGTGACCCATGCACTCAGAGCCACCCAATGGACATTTGTCATCAGGGGCCAGGTCATGCACTGCAGTGCTTTAACAACATGACCAAGCCCCTGTAATATTGCAGCGCTGGGAGGAAGCTAACCTCCTAGCTAACATAGACCGAGCCGTGCGGAAGGTAGAAGGAAGGGCAGGAGAGCAAGCTCCAAACTCCCAACAGTCCCAGCCAGCAGAAGTCACCCTCCAGAGCCCAAAAGGTATTATTCTGGAGGATGGATAACATTTTGACCTGTATGTGTGTCTGTATGTGTGTAGTGTTTGTATCTATATGTGTGTCAGTGTGTTTATCTGTGTGTCTATGTGAGATTGTATTTGTGTGTCTTTGCATCTGTATGTGTGTCAATGTATGCATCTGTGTGGCATTGTTTGTATGTGTGTGTCTGTGTATCTGCATGTGTGGCAGTGCTTGTATGTGTGTGTCATTGTGTGTCTCAAGGTATCTGCATCTGTGGCAGTGTGTGTATCTGTATATCTACATGTGTGTCTGTGCAATTGAATGTGCGTCAGTGTTTGTTTCTGTGTATCTGCATGTATGTCATTGTTTGTGTCTGTATCTATGTATGTCAGTGTTTGTATCAATACATGTGTCTCTGTGTATAGCTGTATGTCTGTGTATCTGCATGTGAGTACCTGTGTATTTATATGTGTGTGAGTGTGTGCATCTGTATGTGTATTGTCAGGGCTGGTCTGTACATTGGCCACGATGGGTCCATGGTTGCAGGCGGCACTTTTACAGGGATGGCATTTTGCTGCCCCTGTAAACTTTAAGTTGCCTGTTGTGGGGCCTGGGCCTCCTACTTGCATGTATATAGTGATAACCGCTATATATATGCTGTTCTGGGCCCTTGCTACCTTAACCTGTGAAGAGGGGGCCCAGAACCTCCAGCAGCATGTCCTCTCGCCAACACTCTGGCATGCGTTACGTGCCGAACGGAGCATTGCCCTGACAACCCACGGTAACACAATTCGTGAGAGGAGAGGACATGAAGCTGCAGTGGGGAAGATTAGATTTCTCTGCCTCCTCTTCACAGGAAACCATATGATGTGCCACTGCACCACCAGTGAAATTAATGTTTTCCCTCCTTGGCCACAGACAAGAGGCAGGGAGGGTGAAATAAACTGCATTATACATTTTTTAAATCTGATTACCCCTCACAGCCCTTTACACACTGCACATGCACTACACATACACTCCATCCTCTACACACACATACACTACATGTACTACTCAGACCCACTCTCTGCATACACTACAGAGACAGACTCTGCATCCATTACACACACCCACTGCATACACCACACAGACATACTGCATCCCCTACACAGACAGTGCATTCACTACACATACTGCATAACATAATGGATATGCATGTGGTTTTGGGAGGGAGGCAGAATTTTACCCTTGGACCCAGGCAGCAAAATGTTTTGGGCCGACCCTGGTGTCTGTTTGTATCTGTGCATCTGCACGTGTCTAAGTATGTGCATCAGTGTGTGTTTCTGTATTGTATATGCTATATATATGTGGATCTCACAAAGTGAGTACATCCCTCACATTTTTGTAAATATTTTATTATATCTTTTCATGTGACAACACTGAAGAAATGGCACTCTGTTACAATGTAAAGAAGTGTACAGGCTGTATAACAGTGTAAATTTGCTGTCCCCTCAAAATAACTATACACACAGCCATTAATGTCTAAATCGTTGGCAACAAAAGGGAGTACACCCCTAAGTGGAAATGTCCAAATTGGGCTCAAAGTGTCAATATTTTGTGTGGCCATCATTATTTTCCAGCACCCCCTTAAGGCCCATGGGCATGGATTTCATCAGAGCTTCTCAGGTTGCCACTAGAGTCCTCTTCCACTCCTCCATGATGACATCACAGAGCCGGTGGATGTTAGAGACCTTGCTCTCCCCCACCTTTAATTTGAGGATGACCCACATATGCTCAGTAAGGTTTAGATCTGGAAACATGCTTGGCCAGTCCATCCCATTTACCTTCAGCTTCTTTAGCAAGGCAGTGGTTGTCTTGGAGGTGTGTTTTGGGTCGTTATCATGTTGGCATACTGCCCTGGGGCCCAGTCTCCGAAAGGAGGGGACCATGCTCTGCTTCAGTATGTCACAGTACATGTTGGCATTCATGGTTCTCTCAATGAACTGTAGCTCCCCAATGCCGACAGCACTCATGTAGGGCCAGACCATCACACTCCCACCACCATGCTTGACTGTAGGCAAGACACACTTGTCTTTGTACTCCTCACCTGGTTGCCGCCACACATGCTTGACACCATCTGAACCAAATAAGTTTATCTTGGTCTCATCGGACCACAGGACATGGTTCCAGTAATCTATGTCCTTAGTCTGCTTGTCTCCAGCAAACTGTTTGTGGGCTTGCTTGTGCATCTTCTTTAGAAAAGGCTTTCTTCTGGCAGCCATGCAGACCAATTTGATGCAGTGTGCAGCATATGATTTGAGCACTGACAGGCTGACACCCCACTCCTTCAACCTCTGCAGCAATGCTGGCAGACCTCATACATCTATTAGGCAAGTTGTATTTTTGAGGATTAATTTTATTATTGAACAACAACCATGTTCTCAATGAACCCAAAAAACTCATTAATATCAAAGCTGAATATTTTTGGAAGTAGTTTTTAGTTTATTTTAGTTATAGCTATGTTAGGGGGATATCTGTGTGTGCAGGTGACTGTTACTGTGCATAATTATTAGGCAACTTAACAAAAAACAAATATATACCCATTTCAATTATTTATTATTACCACTGAAACCAATATAACATCTCAACATTCACAAATATACATTTCTGACATTCAAAAGCAAAACAAAAACAAATCAGTGACCAATATAGCCACCTTTCTTTGCAAGGACACTCAAAAGCCTGCCATCCATGGATTCTGTCAGTGTTTTGATCTGTTCACCATCAACATTGCGTGCAGCAGCAACCACAGCCTCCCAGACACTGTTCAGAGAGGTGTACTGTTTTCCCTCCTTGTAAATCTCACATTTGATGATGGACCACAGGTTCTCAATGGGGTTCAGATCAGGTGAACAAGGAGGCCATGTCATTAGATTTTCTTCTTTTATACCCTTTCTTGCCAGCCACGCTGTGGAGTACTTGGACGCGTGTGATGGAGCATTGTCCTGCATGAAAATCATGTTTTTCTTGAAGGATGCAGACTTCTTCCTGTACCACTGCTTGAAGAAGGTGTCTTCCAGGAACTGGCAGTAGGACTGGGAGTTGAGCTTGACTCCATCCTCAACCCGAAAAGGCCCCACAAGTTCATCTTTGATGATACCAGCCCAAACCAGTACTCCACCTCCACCTTGCTGGCGTCTGAGTCGGACTGGAGCTCTCTGCCCTTTACCAATCCAGCCACGGGCCCATCCATCTGGCCCATCAAGACTCACTCTCATTTCATCAGTCCATAAAACCTTAGAAAAATCAGTCTTGAGATATTTCTTGGCCCAGTCTTGACGTTTCAGCTTGTGTGTCTTGTTCAGTGGTGGTCGTCTTTCAGCCTTTCTTACCTTGGCCATGTCTCTGAGTATTGCACACCTTGTGCTTTTGGGCACTCCAGTGATGTTGCAGCTCTGAAATATGGCCAAACTGGTGGCAAGTGGCATCGTGGCAGCTGCACGCTTGACTTTTCTCAGTTCATGGGCAGTTATTTTGCGCCTTGGTTTTTCCACATGCTTCTTGCGACCCTGTTGACTATTTTGAATGAAACGCTTGATTGTTCGATGATCACGCTTCAGAAGCTTTGCAATTTTAAGAGTGCTGCATCCCTCTGCAAGATATCTCACTATTTTTGACTTTTCTGAGCCTGTCAAGTCCTTCTTTTGACCCATTTTGCCAAAGGAAAGGAAGTTGCCTAATAATTATGCACACCTGATATAGGGTGTTGATGTCATTAGACCACACCCCTTCTCATTACAGAGATGCACATCACCTAATATGCTTAATTGGTAGTAGGCTTTCGAGCCTATACAGCTTGGAGTAAGACAACATGCATAAAGAGGATGATGTGGTCAAAATACTCATTTGCCTAATAATTCTGCACTCCCTGTATTTCCCAAGACAACCTTT